GACATTATTCTGGTTAGCTGAACTGGGTTCACGTAGACTTGGATAATGTTCTTTAAGATCTTCTTCCGTTCCTCGTTAACAATAGTGCATTCAGAAGAGCAGGGAATCATTTCTTCTATGCTTTCAGTTTTGCAGAATTTACAAATGACATCTTCCTTTTAAATTATTTGAATGTGACTTTCTCTTAGTAATGTCGAGGTGATTCTTGTTTGGGTAATGTAACCTTTTTTATGTTTAATTTATTATCTTAATTAAAGCAATATATGATCTAAACTATTTTTATTATTTTTACCACGCTGTAATATAACGAACATATTCATGTATCAAGCAAATTATCAATAATTCTATATCAAATCATCTAAATGGTGTTCCAAAATCAACAGAAAGTCCTTTTCTACAATAAATATATATATCTAGAGTTTTTTATATACCATTGTTGATGGTTTTATTTATTTGTAATATTTTATTTATTCAAAATCTCCCAATTATTGATATTTATTTGTGTTTAAACATTGTGGTTTATTATTATATTCACTTTTGTTTAGAATGTATATATTAGATGGTTTATCGCCCAATAAGCTTGTAAGACATCCATGGCTCACCGCGACCTGCTGTTTGCTTCATAACAAACACCTAGTAAAAGATATACGATTGATCCATTGAAATATTGGATGAATAAGACTATTAATAATTTTAAATAAAACCTTATAATTGTGAAAAATATTAATACCATTAAAGAAATCTAAATGCGAAAAATAATAAATATGAATCAATAGACAGATTGGTAAACACAAAAGCTTTTTTTCTTAAGACCAGTTTTTTTTCATATTTTAAAGTAAATATAAATAGGGTTATAATATAGATTCATATTAATTTCAATATAAAAAATTTATCAAAGCGTTAAACGAGAGAAATCCTAAGAGATAAAAGTTAATTAAATATATACATTAAAGTTGATATTTGTTTTTTTTTTACCTAGAATAAATAAATACGAAAATATATAATTAAAATATTGAGGTAAAATACTTGAATATTTTATATACAAATTAGCAATTTTACTCATTATAATTTCGCTAATCTATGTAAACTTCATTGCATATCTGGTATTTTATTATTAATTTTGATAATTTTAATTTATATATTATAATATTTAAAAACATATATTTCATTTCTATTCATTGACTCTCTGTTCTACATTTCTTTTTATAGATTTAGAACATAACACTTTGAATATTGTGGTTAATATGTATAGTTAACCTACCTATTATTTTTAATTCATTAATATAGGATTCTTTTTATAAATCTATATAATTGTTATAAATACTAAATGTATGATTTGATACAAGTAATTGAAAATTAAAACTACTTGAGAAGTAAATATTTATTTCAAACAAAACATTATAATCATAACATGTATATGTTACATTAAAATATTATTTTATTCAAAATTATATTTCATAGATTCAAATATTCTGCTAAATTGACCGCGAGAGGTCATGCTTCCCCTATAAAACTCATTGTTGCTATTTCCCGTTGGCCGGCTCAAAACCTTTGTACATTATGTAAATAAGTTTTCCATTTTTTTTTATTTTTACGCCTTAAGCCAGGCAGTACTTTTGTAAAATTATGTTATTTTATATATTCCGCAGCTCAAATAAAGAAATCTCTGATCAAAACTATTTTATTATTATACTTTCAAGATTTCAACCACGACTACATCACCAATACCATTTAGTACTAAAAAGAACCAGCAAATAACTCCATATCATAATCCTCAAGAATTTTCAAAAAACGGCAGAAAATATTCATCAAATATTATATATATATATGTTTTTATATGAATCAATGATAAATTTATATATACAGAGATAAGTATATATATTATAAAAAAAATATTTTCTTCTGTTTTCAGATTATTATTTAGATATTTACTGGCTCTATTGAGTACATGGTATTGGTATGTAGTCGTGGAAAATCTTGAAAATATAAATAAAAACAGTTCAGATCAGAATTTGCATTAATTGAGCTAATAGAGTATTCATTACATAATTTGATAAAGTACTCCCTGTTTTATTGCGAATAAAATAAAAGAAAACGGTAAAATTATTTACATAATTACAAAAGATTTAAGCCGGCCAACGGGAAACAACAACAATGGGTTTATATAGGGAAAACGCGACCTCTGGCGGTCTATTTAACAGAGTATTTTTCATCCAGATCATTCATCCATAACTTTTATGAGGAGTCACATATTGAATTTCTAAAGAACAGGAGACCACATGTATTGACTTTGAATCAAGAAGATAGTAAATGGTGCATCTAATTTTGTTCAGGAATAGACAAGAATTTCAAAGTTTTTTGGTGTGAAACTAATGTATACGCACAATTCAAAGTTCATGAATTTAATCTAATATTTACACTATTTCCTGACACGATAAATTAACTGTTTATTAAATTATATTATGTTTATTAAATGAAGAAATAAGTGGATCATATACCCACGTGATTTAGTTTAAATCAAAGAAAAACCTTGATAAAGAGAGGCGTGTTGCCCCTAGAAATATTGGTTGAATAATAAATTTATATCCAATATATGCCTTTTATATATATATAGTTAAACCTGTCTATAGCGCCCCCTCTTGGGACTCACCAAAATAGGGTGCTAAAGAGAGGGGGTGCTATAGACAGGTTACTTTTAATGTAAATCTCATCGTAACACATATTTAAAATCAGGCGCTATAGAGAGGGAGGCGTTATTTAGAGGGGGCGCTTTAGACAGGTTAGAAATGTATATATATTGTGTTAGAATTATTTTTGTTTTTGTTGTTGAAAAGAGGTGCAGTCGTGAAAAAGTAACGATAAATATTTACCTTTCAAGTAGATTTTATTTTGAATTATTTGAAGTAAAATTACACATAAAATTATTTTTCACAACAATGAATTCTATAATCGTGATTTAAAAAAAAAGGTAGGGTTAACTATACATATTTACCTCAATAATAATTAAAGTGGTATGTTCTGCATCTATGGTCAAATATGTAAAACAGTCAATGAATGAAAATAAAATATATGTTATTATAAAAATAAAATAATTGTATTTTAGATTATATAATATATATATTAAAAAACGAAATAAAAAAATAAAAGATAAAAAGATCAGGTGTTGAAATCAATATTAAAAAATGGCATATCCTGACCAGGAGTATATATATTATATATAATATATATATATACGCATAATTTTAGTTATAAATTTGACAAAGTTTTAGATTTATCTCTACTCGCTATATGAAAAATATTAACGCAAAAAAAAATCGTTTTCTCTTGTTCATTCATCCATAACTTTTATGAGGAGTCACATATTGAATTTCTAAAGAACAGGAGACCATGTATTGACTTTGAATCAAGAAGAAAGTAAATGGTGCATCTAATTTTGTTCAGGAATAGACAAGAATTTCAAAGTTTTTTGGTGTGAAACTAATGTATACGCACAATTCAAAGTTCATGAATTTAATCTAATATTTACACTATTATCCCGACACGATAAATTAACTGTTTATTAAATTATATTATGTTTATTAAATTAAGAAATAAAAAAAAGATACATTTTAAAATAATTCAATAATATATTTATCTTTTTGATAACTGAAATATTCAATTTCCTCTTGTGTGGAAAAATTATTGATTACTACTACAAATCTCTATATATATAAAAGTCGATGTCTGTCTGTCTGTTTCGCGATAAACTCAAAAACTACTGAACCAATTGGTACCAATTTTTGCATGTCGCTTTTTATAAACCTGAGGAAAATTTTCGGCTGCATTTTGATTAGTATTTTTGGCTATTTCTTTTTTACATTTGAAAAACTTTTTTTTACGCGGACTAATCCGGAATGGAACGAATACCTAAATATGGCCTTTTTTTTAAGCATCGGTGGTTCAGTGGTAGAATGCTCGCCTGCCACGCGGGCGGCCCGGGTTCGATTCCCGGCCGATGCATTTTTTTTTACAATTTTTAAAACTCATTTATATTATGTATAATATAAATATATATTATTATATAAATTATATTAATTAAATCAAATACCTAAACACTAATATAATACAATTTTTGCCATCACACACACTTTTTTCCTGTAGTTTATGTGTTACTTCTGTATTGCTATTCTATGGCACTTCTAATATTTATTATTGATATACTTTTAGTGTAAAGGAAATTGCACCCAAGGGATTTCTCGGGCGAAGCCGGGTCATTCGCCTAGTATATATATATATATATATATATATATTGTAGTGTATTTAGGTTGATTTAAAAGTAGAAATAAATTTTAGGCTTTGTTTATTCAAATGGCTTTTATTATATTACACCGTATCAGATGCAAGCTTAAGAATTACAAGTTAACAATCGAATAATATGATGATAAATTATATGTTATGATACATACAATATATCGCAGAATCTGTGGATTTAATATTATTATTATTTTAATATATTATATAAAATATTATATTATATAATTGAAATATAAATATACACACGACATATATATATAAATGTTATAAAAAATTAGATTTTCTGTGTGATTTTAATTATCTTGAGTATTATGTTATGTTAATACAGTCGTGGTTTAAATCTTGAAAATAAAAATAGTTAAAATAATGAAGATTAGAAATAGCTTTAATTGAGCTGAAAGAATATATAGAAAAAACATATGGTAATACCTGGCTTGAGGCGTAAGAATAAAAAATGAAAAACTTATTTACCTAATGAACAAAAGATTTGAGCCGGCCATCGAGAAACAACAACGACGAGTATAGGGCCCCTGGCGGTTGATTTAGAAGAGTATTTGAATCTATGAAATATAATTGAAAGAAAATAATATTTGAATATAACCTATATATAAACTATTTAAATAATTAAAATCAATGAAGAAAAATATACTTATAGACTTTTATTGAAATATAGCCGTAATTAACAAATTAATATAATAAAAGGGATTTGCTGGCATCTGCCCGTGGCCATGGCATCCGCCCGGTAAGCGGAACACTGTGGGTTCGATTCCCATCCCTGGACATTTTTATTTTTCCGTTTATCATTACTCTTCACAATTCATTCTTTCATACTTCATTCCTAAGGCTAGAAATAATCGTTATTTCTCCTTAGGATAAATTTCGATTTTTCGTTCCAAAGAAACACATGCGGGATAATTTTCAAATGTCGTTCTACAATCATAAGCCGCATTATATTGTATATCAATTAGGGAGGATCAGAAGATGAGTTTCTTTTATTGATTGAATGCTACGAGCTTTCGGGCAAAAGCCCTTCGACAGGCAAAAATATAAATATACAAAGAAAGATAAATAACGATTTATATATATGTTAATCTTAACTGAAAACCGATTTTGAATAAAGTAAATATTAAATCTGCTGTCTGAGACCACGAGACGGCGCATGGTTTGGGATATTGAAATAAACATGTGGGAGGTTTAAATGTAGTTTGTGTAGGCTGCGGGGATGTCTATTTTTCTATTTATGCTGTGTAGCTTGGATGAAACTATGGATTCTAGAACCAATCTCTGGTGTAGGTTGGAGATATTTTTGTAGTGAATGGTTGGGTTAGCAGTGTCAAAGGAATGGCCAGAAGATGCAATGTGTTGGAAAATAAGGGAACGGGTATCTCGGTTGGTGATGTTGCGTGTGTGTTCGGTCATTCTGATGGCGATGGTTCTACCGGTCTCCCCCACATAGGTGGCAGGACACTGTTGGCACGAGACCGAGTAGACTGCTCCAGAAGATGTTAGAGGATCAGTGGAGGAGTCGGTTTTTGTGATGGGATGCCTAAGGAGTGAGTGGAGGTTAGGTGTGTTAGTAAAAAAGGTACGGATGCCAAAGGGTTTGAGGAAACGGGAGAGGTTAACTGAGAGGGGAGAGAATGGGATCACACATGTGGATTTGTAAGTTGCAGGAGGGTTGAGAGGAACAGGTGAATAGGTGTGTTTTTCTATGAAGGATAGAGGGAAACCTGAAATTGTAAGATGGGAGATGATGCGGTTCTTTTGAATAGTTTTGAAGATGGGGAGTGAGCAGTGGGTTAATAGGCGGCGGGTGAGGGCTTTAACTATATTGATTTAGTGGGAGGTTGGACAGTGCGACCTATAATGGGTGTATCTGGGGGGGTGGTTTTTCTTGTAGTAGACTGTGGGGGGGAGTCCTATTGGAGCGTAGGACGGGTTTAACTAAGTCCGAACGAGAGGGCTCGGTCAGCAACCTTGCCAATGAACTCTCGGAGACGCCTGTGGGTGAGTGGTCAACCCCATTGTAGCCGGACCATACTGGCGGGCGCGAGGGGCCTACCAAAGGCCGCTCGGTGCATGGAGAATGCATCATTCCTTCTGGCTGTGTGACGTGGTTTTTCAGCGAAAAACAGGGGATGCAAGGGCTTTTGTTGCCTATATCATTCCTGGCTTTTGCCGAATTTCTATTCTGTAGTAGACTGTGGTATGGTAGGTGTTTGGGGTGCGTATGACTAGGACGTCCAGGAAAGGAATAACAAGCTCATGTTCTCTCTCAAGAGTGAATGTGATGTTGGGATTGTAAGTGTGGAGGTCGGTGAAAATGGTATTCTCGCTGTCGGTTTTGCATACGCAAAAAAATATCGTCAACGTATCGACGCCAGAAGAAGATGTTTGAGGGTTGTCGGTTACAAATCCACTGGTCTATGGTAGACATCGTTATTTCAGACAAAATGGATGAGAGGGGGCTGCCCATTGGGGTTCCCCTGATCTGTTTAAAGTGGGTATGAGAATAGGTGAAGGTGTTCATGCACAGGCAGATTTTGGTGAGTGAGATGATGTTGTTGGCTATGGTGGCATCTGTGTGGATGGATGAAAGGAATTGGTGGAGGTTATCTATCATGAGGCTGTGTGGAAGGCTGAGGAATAGGGAAGATACGTCGAACGAGCACATGGATGAGTTTGGAGGGGGGAGCAGGTTTGTTATATCCTGTATGAAACTGGTGGAATTGGGTGTCGTGAAGGCTCTCCTGTTATTATTCCAAAGAGGGGTTAGAAGGTTTGTAAGGTGTTTGGCCAGGGGGTAGGCAGGGGATAGGTGGTATGCGATGACTGGACGGAGGGGGACGGATGGTTTGTGGATCTTGGGGAGGCCGTAAATATAGGCATTAGTTCCCATGTTGGAGGTGAAGTTTTTGTGATCTTCTATTGTGATGGAGGCCGAGCGTTTCATGCGGTTGAGGGAAACTCTGAAATTCTTGGCCGTTGCTTTGCTTTCTTCTGCGGAGATTTGGGTGAAAGTGGTTGTATCATTCAGTATGTCTGTCGGTGAAAATGGTATTCTCGCTGTCGGTTTTGCATACGCAAAAAAATATCGTCAACGTATCGACGCCAGAAGAAGATGTTTGAGGGTTGTCGGTTACAAATCCACTGGTCTATGGTAGACATCGTTATTTCAGACAAAATGGATGAGAGGGGGCTGCCCATTGGGGTTCCCCTGATCTGTTTAAAGTGGGTATGAGAATAGGTGAAGGTGTTCATGCACAGGCAGATTTTGGTGAGTGAGATGATGTTGTTGGCTATGGTGGCATCTGTGTGGATGGATGAAAGGAATTGGTGGAGGTTATCTATCATGAGGCTGTGTGGAAGGCTGAGGAATAGGGAAGATACGTCGAACGAGCACATGGATGAGTTTGGAGGGGGGAGCAGGTTTGTTATATCCTGTATGAAACTGGTGGAATTGGGTGTCGTGAAGGCTCTCCTGTTATTATTCCAAAGAGGGGTTAGAAGGTTTGTAAGGTGTTTGGCCAGGGGGTAGGCAGGGGATAGGTGGTATGCGATGACTGGACGGAGGGGGACGGATGGTTTGTGGATCTTGGGGAGGCCGTAAATATAGGCATTAGTTCCCATGTTGGAGGTGAAGTTTTTGTGATCTTCTATTGTGATGGAGGCCGAGCGTTTCATGCGGTTGAGGGAAACTCTGAAATTCTTGGCCGTTGCTTTGCTTTCTTCTGCGGAGATTTGGGTGAAAGTGGTTGTATCATTCAGTATGTCTGTCATTTTTGTATGGTATTCGGTTTGGTTGATGATAACCGTATCAGATCTCTTGTCTGATCGGGTAATGACAATGGATCGTTGGGATTTCAGTTTGCGTATGATCTTGTGTTCTAATCTTGACACGGAGAGTGGAGGTAGCGGTCGTTGTAGGGTGCGGGTTACTTGATTCCTGATGGTCCATTGGTCTTGGTGGGAGAGGGTTCTGATGGAGGCCTCTATTTCACTAATGAGTCGGGGTGTGTCTACTTTGGCTGGGATTCTGTATTTTAGCCCTTTGGATAATAGTCTGTTTTCAGCTGGTGATAGGGTTATGTCAGACAGGTTGATAACATTGGGGACCTCATGGTCGGTGTTCCTACGTTGGAGAGGGAAAGCATATTTTCGGGACCAAAACTCCAGTTTTTGGTTATGTTTGCGGTTTGTATTCTGTTCCAGGGCCTTAACGTCTGTTGTGGTTTTTTCTATGAAAGAGGTGAGAATTGCGATGTCCATGTTCTGTGTGATCAGAAAGATGAGTCTTTTAAAAAGGGATTTGTACCTATATCTCTCTCTCTCTCTTCGAGATTTTATATAAAAAATCCACTTTTAAAAATAATATATAATTGGAAACTTATTCTAATACCCTTATACTTGATATGTATGAGAATTGAAAGGTTGAGGGTATGGCCTATAAGTGTTGAATCCTCCAAGAGGTTTCTCCATTTTAATCTTTAGACGTTCTTCTTTTGTATTATATTCAATATTATATATAGAATGCATTTGTTATGGAATATATTGAATGGGATTCGTGAAAAACTATTAACACATTTAGTGCATTAGAGAAATATATATCTAGATTAGATATTTAATGCAACGAACAATGTTTTTCTGCAAAATCATAAATAGGCCCGTTAAGCAAAGTTTGAATATCAACATCATATATATATATTGAAAATAGAGCAATTCATATTTAATTCATTAGATAATAAAAAGGCATATATTGAATTTAATAAAATATTTATTTTCCAATATTTCGATTGGCTGAACGCCAAACCTTTATCAAGGCATTACATTTTGGTATTCGTATTTGTATTCATACAAAAATATAATGCCTTGATCGAGGTTTGGCGTTCAGCCAACCGAAATATTGGCAAATCATTTTTTTATTAAATCCAATATATGCCTTTTTATTATATAATATATGTATATATTGAAATAAAATAGAATATAAATAATAGTATAAAAGTGTAGCGTTGGAAATACTTTTAAATATGAGCGATAGATGGCTTCGAATTAATGTCATATACAAATGTATTATATAGTTGAAGAAAACAAAGGAATCTATATATATATATATACCTACAGAGGTTAGTTATTTAAAAATAAATATGGGATATATTGGTATTCATAGTATCCTCATTGAAAATATAACAAAATATTTTTAAAACTTAATTCTATTGACGTTATGTGGCGCTGAATTTGTTGTTGACACATATTAAATACACGTTTAACCAACTGAAATATTGGTAAATTAAATTATATTTTGATCCAATATATGCCTTTTCAATTTAATATCGGTATTTATATTCAAATATACTGTTTTATGTACAACAACAACATCAGAAGGCTTTAGTATGACCTTTTGGTCTTATGGATAAAAACTTATTAAAGTTTCATATATTGATTTCACCGGTTGTCTGTTTTTTTAAGGAGACGAAGCAATTTTATTGACATATGGTTATCTCGTTTGTCTTCATAATGATCACTTTGTATCAAATATCATTCAGAGTTATTGTCTAAATCCCGATATACATGCTGAAACATACAACTTCTTTAAGATGTGTTCATTAGTGTATATGCAACTTAAATAAATATAACAACCACAAAAAACTTCATTAAGAACTATTGGTCTTATACAGATCCTTCTAAAAGAAATGTAGAGTACATACAGATATAACAGTAACAGTATTACCAGTTTGAATCAAAATGCGATCCATTAATTAAGATTATATAAAAGGGCTTACCTG